ATATCTTAGTTTTCTAGATCTAGAAAACTAAGATATCTTACTTTTCTAGATCTAGAAAACTAAGATATCTTAGTTTTCTAGATCTAGAAAACTAAGATATCTTACTTTTCTAGATCTAGAAAACGAAGATTTTTAAGGATTTTTAATGATGGGTTGTACCATTATATCTGTCTCTTATACACATAGTGTAGTTTTATATAGCGCACAAATCCATCTAATGTAAGATGCTCAGGGCGCTTGAAATGTGGACTAGTGACTTGATCAATGACTTTCTTCGCCCCTAAGGGTCCCTTCGTGTCTGTGCTACCCGGTAACCCGGTACCAGCAACTCTCGTCGTCCACCACAGGGGCTGTCTGTTCCGGTACACCGGGGTATCCCCCTACTCGTCTCGAAGGATGTACAGGGTTCTTTATAGTGCACACGAGCCATTGTATACACTATATACCTATATTCATATTTCAATTATTTATAGTTTACTTTGGCTTTTTTGGATTTTTTTTCTTATGATGGTGTGAGAAACTAATTAACTCAATCTGAGTGCATGATGTTTGTATGTATTGATATTTACTTTTTTCTATCATTTAGTCAAATGAGAAGGTTACCTCGTATACATTGAAACCAGTCAGCCAATATGCTTGTGTCAACTATGATTCAACCATTGCATACCGTGAAAACAGCGATGTTATTTTCAACAGAGCTGTTTTTGTTTCCAATGAACCAATAAAGTCATCAACATTTTTTGAGTTGAGTATTGACAAAACATCTGATCGGCATAACGGTTCAATGGAACTTGGTAAGAATCATATTAACTATTATTTACATTTCGTATCCGCTTCCATTAGGAAATTATAAGAAAATGATAATAGGCCTATAAATCAACCTGACAATTTATGAAATAATACTATTATTATAAAGCTTTACTACGGAAAGTGGCACAATGCTTTGGTGCTGCTGATCTGGAGTTAGCTGACTCCATAACAAAAATACTCCATGTGATAAGTACTAAATTTAATGATTTAATTTTATTCAATTACAGTTCAAAGGCACGACAATAAAATAGATATAAAATTACCCTCTTAAAATATAGTGATGAAATAGAAAGTCATTAGAACCTCGGAGAGGTTTTTAAAATAGTTACAGCTAGACTTAGTCATACGTGAAGACGATATGACGATCGTGGGCATGTGGTGTTGGTTCCAATGAATCTTACTGTGACCTTTGCCAGATGACCGCTTACGATATCTCAAGAGGAATTTGCGGGGGCCGGTCTCCTTCAAAATATTGTCCTATATGTGTGGTAGGTCGTATGCACCTTGATTTCGGTTCATGTTATTGGTATGTAATCTTATGTTTATGGTGTCCTTAAATTATTCTGATGTTCCATTTGGTTCCTTGGCTAAAATATTGACAGTTTACCAATTAGAAATATGATTATGTGTGGTTATGTGGTCTGTGATGGCTGAGTTGCGAACAGTGTTGGAGGCACTGAGAGTCTGATCGATCTGGTGGATACCCCTTTGAATGCTCTGTAACTTCTTTTTCTATATTCATTGATGCGTTTTTTAAGAATCTTTCCGTTTCCCCAGTGTATGTAGAATCGCAGTTAGAGCAATCGACTTTGTAAACGACACCACATGTGTCTTCTTTTTTGTTGTATCTTTTGGATGGACCAGGTGGTTTCTAGGTTTGTTTTGCGGAATGAAAAAAAGTGTTGATGTTGTGTTGTTTATGGCATCTCTTTATTCTTTTTGACATGTTGGGGATGTATGGTATAACAATACATCCTTTCGTTTTTCACTACCTTTTTTCTTTACCATTTCTTTGTTTTCTTTTATCTTCTTTGGCACTCTGTCTACCGATCAACTTGGGTACTTGCATATCTTATGTTGTGTATTTCTCTGTCTTTCTCACATTGAGTGGCGACAACTTTCTCACACCTATCCTCAAGGGTGCTGAAGACGCTCAACTTATGCTCCAGTGGGTGGCATGAGAGAAAGTGTAAGTATTGGTTTGTGTGTGTGTGTGTTTTCTGTAGACTGAAGTTGAATTTGTTTGTTAAATAATGAGATTGAAGGACATGGTGTTGTTGGACATGTGTTTACTACAACTGGGCTTACTGGACTGCCCATTGCGACACCTTCCACTTGCCTGTAGAACCTGTCATTAAATCTGAAATAGATTGTTTTTAAAAGTAAAGAAATCAATGCAATAATGATTATCAACGGATAGCTTTGTGCGGTCCTTAAGCCATTGTCGTTTTTATGATGTTTAGTACTATGTCTGTAGGAGTTTTAGTGAAAGATACCACATCATAGGAGACAAAGGTGCTTCATGGTGGTTATTCTATGATATTGTAACGTTCTTGAACTATCCGAGCTTCAATCGAAGCGAGGCTTAGTCATAAGTGACGATATAACGATTTCGGGAATTATGATGTTGTTTTCGATGAACTTTTACTGACCTTTGCCAGATGACCACTTGGAATTCCGAAACGTCAAGCTCATCCGTAAGTTTACATTACCCTTACCTATACTTGATTTTTCGATCATTATAAAAGAATTTTATATATTTTCCTATTATTGGATCCTATGAATTTATTAATAATGCAAAAGTTTACTAACATTACACAAAACATGTACATTTCTAAAATATAATAAAAAAAAAAGTGTAAAACAACTAGTTAATAATTATTGTAGTGAATCAGTTCTAATAATACATACAAATTTATATATATCCTGATTTTAATCAATTTGATACTTTTAGCCCCTGTTCTTATTCATGTTGTCGCTTTGAACACTTTATAATGTCTAGACAGGAATATAAATTCTGTGGCCAGTACGCTTTCCTAGACGATTTTTTATCTCTATTTTTGGAAAGCAAATATCGCACTTGATCTCAGTCAGGTGTACAGTACATGCAAAGTAAATTATTTCTTTACGATTGTGCCTTCCAGATGAATTATGATACTTATTTTTTGGGGTGTCTACAAAACTAAGATCTAGAAAACTAAGACCTAAGATATCTTAGTTTTCTAGATCTAGAAAACTAAGATATCTTACTTTTCTAGATCTAGAAAACTAAGATATCTTAGTTTTCTAGATCTAGAAAACTAAGATATCTTACTTTTCTAGATCTAGAAAACGAAGATTTTTAAGGATTTTTAATGATGGGTTGTACCATTATATCATGAGGTATTTTTGATTTTAAAGCAGTAAAATAAGGTTATACCATTATCCCTAAGTGGGGTTTACTTTTTACTAAGGAATTTAAAAGTAATCTAGTCCTTGATTTTGCTGTACAGACCATTTGGCATAATTTTATTTGAATTAATAGAAATTCTACAGGTTGGATTAATTCATTAGATTGTTCTCTATGGATTGTTAAACATTCTAGATAGTCATTAAGTCATATGTTGGCCTTGATTACGTACCGTACCCTTCTAAAGTCTACATTTTTATAGTGAATTTTGGCATGGGTGAATTTTATCACTGATTAGTCATTCTGTTCCTGTGGGTATTGATTATTGTAGAATGTGACTGAAGTCAGTGCTAAACCTAGGCATGTGGTAGACCCAATGAGAGTATAAGAGACAGG